TACTTGTGTTTCTGTTCGTACAGCTTCTTCTCAAGGATCCTCGCCGACTCGGCTACTTTCTCGTTTTTTTCGACCAGTTGTTGCATCGTGGCCCTGCTCGTACGGAGAGCACCATGGGTTGACGAGAGCTTTGCTTGCAGTTGATCCTTCACTGTATTGAGACGCTCTGTCCATTTAACAAGTCCGGCATCGTGGAATTGGACAATCTAGAGTGACATCGATGGTCAATTTTGCATTTAGTGAGAGGTTGAAATATAGAGTACCTGGCTAGAGTACGAGCAGACTTCATCATAGCCCTGCGCGGCAGTATCCTTTGCGTGAGTCCACTGGGATGTCATCGTCTGCACAGTCGAGGCTAGCTCTGCTGGCGGCTTGCCAGGATCGAAGTCACCGCTCAGCAGGCGGGCCAGTGACAAGGTGGCCGCCAGCGCAGCTCCTATCTGAGTATCCAGCTCACCATATCGCTTGACGAGCTGGCGGTTCGCAAGGTCTTGGAGGCCTTGGAACTTGGATTGCAGCGAGGAGAGTTGGGATGTCAAGTCCTGAACCTGGTGGCCTTCATTGTCGCTCATGGTTGAATGTGTGAAAGCAAGGGGGGTACGATTGGATTGGGGGGACAGGGAAAGGTACGATAGGGTCAAAGGTCTATGGATCCTCTTCATGGCAAATGGCGGACATTTCGTTTATTTGACATTCTACACCGGCTCTCCACTTTACGATAGAACGTCGAACAAAATTCCTCATAATGGCAGGCTGTAGCGTGGTGTGTTGTCAGTGCATACATAATATGTGAACCTCAACTCCCCACTTTGGTCTGGAAGATTGCACAAACCTCCCATCATGGCTGCCTGAGGAGTGATTTGCTGTCAGTGCATACAGATGTACGTCCATACAGATGTACGTCCATACAGATGTACGTCCATACAGATGTACGTCCATACAGATGTACGTCCATACAGATGTACGAACATGGGCTCCACACTTCTCTATCGAGGATTGCACATAACCCCTCATTTTGGCTGGCTGAGGGGTGATGTTGACCAGCCTCTACGTCAGTACAGTCCGGAGTAGATCATGGTTCGTACTTTTAGAGCGAGGGGAGGAGGGGAGATCAATTCTGTACGGATGGACTCCGTGGGCAGCAAACGGTACATCCATGAACCTATTCTGTGGCGTTGCTGAAATCGGTCAACGGGCGCGACCGGCCTTGCAGGGTCTGATAGATTTGATTGGAGCTTGCTCATATAGGTGCATGTACAGGATGTCTGACTTGATTGTACGATAGAGCCAAATTGATGCAGCCAAGGCAGCCTCGTTGGGGTTGGTCGTTCAAAGTACTAGATCCCGTCCACACAGTTCCTTTACTTGTTTGGCTATATATATGTGACCAGTTCGCCCTTCTGCTCCATATCCTTAGGTTGAACTCAATATCTATATTTTTATATATACCCATAAACCGATACTGCTATCTGCAAATCATGACTATCCTCGCCAAGAAGCCCGCCGCCAACGAACTCTCCCCTGAGGAGGAGGAGCGGGCCCTGCAGAAAATCCACGAAAACAAAATCCGCAAAGCTTCCACTAAGGAGTACATCGAGGATGTCAAGAACTCCCTGCTTTTCCAACCAGGCTTCAACTGGGGTGACCTACTCTCGGCTGCCCCTATCTCAGTGTCGCTGCTTGGGTCGCTGTTTGTCGCATCCACCATCCCTGATGCCACGGATATCACCATCATCCCGCCCACCGGTGGCTTCAAGTACTTGACAAACTTTGGCTCCAACACCGCCCTGAATGCGTGCCTTGTGCAGTGCTCAGATACTGGAGCAAAGGCGTTTAGCACCGCGTCCAACTCTTTTGACGCTATCGTCCTCAATACCGGCCCTATCAAAAAGACGGTGCACTCCACCTCCCACCTCCGTTTTACATGTCCGTCCTACTGACTGACCTGCCAGGTCAACGAAATCATTGCTTCGATGGGAAATGCAAACGTGGTCGAGAGTCAGCTAATGCCCGCCATGAACACCCTAGTTAATGTTGCGAAAGCCTCCGAGGACAGCGCCAGAGAGATGGAGCAAGCGTTCCAGCAGTGGCTTGATATGGTCTGCGAGCTGCACGCCTGCGTGGTGCAAACCTCCACTAACGCGTCCGAGAAGCGAACAGCGAATCAGGTTCAGCTGGCTGCCGCGAAGATGCGTCTGGCCAGCACCAAGGAAGCCAAGAAGGTGGCCAAAAAGAGCTTGGACACCCTCCAGAACAGCCTCCAAACGGCCACCAGTGCGTACAAGAAGGCGGCTGATGAGTTTCCCTCGGGTTGGGATCTCGTCGCGCAGCAGCTGGTCAGCGACTTAGGAGACTCACTGACCAACGCCATTAACCTGGCTGTGCCTGCTCTCATCGAGAACTATAGTATGACGGAAAAGATGAAAGCAGGTGTTAACATCTTCGAGGGCAACAACGGCGGCGCCAAGGGTGGCTCAGTAGGGGACGGCAAGGTGGACAATTCTAACGTGCCCGAAGCCACTCGTGTGCCTTCGCCGACGCCACGCGCCACGTTGCCGTATCCAAATGACCCAGCGTACGGCATCATCGGGCCCATTCGCAACTATGTAACGACAGTCTCGTCCTTTGTCTCTGGTGGACCGGACCGTGGCGTCGACTGGGAGCTACTCAAAGACAAAGATCCAAAGAAACAGAACAATGGGTTGGGAGTGCTAGCAGCACTGCTACAAGATGCACAGGACAATTTCAAACCGTCGTCAAATCCGCCCTCGGCGGATCTCACCGATGTTTTTAACAAAACAAAGATTGTACGCTCTTTTTGAAATATACTCTGCCTTGCTTGAGCGCACTTACATAAGCTGACATGTGGTGTAGGTTACGGATGGCCTTCAAGAAGCTATCAAACAGAATGAAACCCTCAATGGGTCAGCTCTGCCCGGTCCGGACTCCAAGGATGTCAAGCAGTGGCAGCTGGACATGCAAATTAGCAGTGCCAAGGCAGTCCAACTGGAGACTGACTCAAAGAACCTCGCGACCGCATCTTCGGTATTTGGCTCACTCACTCTCCTGAGGCTGTTCGGAAGTAGACTGACTATTTAGCCCCCTTCCGTCAAAGATACCAAGGCGACCAGTACTCCCACGGACAAAAAGGGCGCCCTTCGTCAACAAATCATCGACGCGGCCACGACAAAGCTGCAGATGACTTCACAGGTTATGGAGACTACTACTGTGCAGTATCAGAAGGCCAGCGCTAATTTGGTTGAAGTCCAGCAGAAAATCGGCGAGATCCAGGGCGAGCTCGCCAGTCTCAAGGCCACCAATATCAATCTGGTATGCCGTCCGAGATTATCTATCGGATCAATTAATTAATAACCTTGACATAGGACAAAATAAAAGCCATCCTGGTCAAGTCGATTGAGATTCTCGTGCAACTCAAGTCTCAGATCAATCGCCTTGTCGCCTTCTTCGCGGCCGTCAGCACTCTCGTCGACCACGCCGTTAATAACCAGGTTTCCCCCTTTTTGGACTATCTCAAGGCCTCCACAAGTGCCGGGGAGCCTTCCCTCCTGAACTTTTCTTTCACTGAATTTCAGCAGCAAATGATCTTCGGCTACGCCCTTAGTATCAGGTCCTTCTTTGACCTGTTCCGGGACATCGGCCACATGTACCTCGACGTGCACAATAGGTTCATCAGGCAGGGGCTCGAGATGGTTAATAACTTGCAGGCGGAGTATAATAGGGCCGCCGATCCGAAGCAGCAGCAGAAGGTCGGTTATCCTTGAATTTTCCACTCCTCAATTACGGACAAGGAGTGCTGACCCAACTCATAGATCTTGGATCAGAGAAACAAAGAAGTCAGCAAGTTCAACAGCAGCTCCATCGAAGGAGTCAAAAAGCTTGTTCAGTTGGTAAGCTGTCCACTGGCCTGCTCGAGGTCTCTACCCCCATTACATTGTGCATTTCCTCTAACTGCCGCAGCGTCAGCAAGATATTACTGATAATCTTGCGTCTAACGCCGCAGATGCGGCCAACTCATTGGACTTTGTGCCCGTGGCACCCACACAGCAAGTGGCAAGGGCCATCACGGACTCTACCGATGCCTCTCGGGAGGCGGCCGAGAAGGGAATCGCCCAGTCGAACAAGTACATCCCTCGCCCGCTCAACGACACCTCGTCTTTGGTAGGTTCTCTCTTTTCACGCTTGTATCAACATATTCAGAGACGAAGGCGATGCTAACTAGAGTGATGCTTAAGGTTGATGACTCGTAAACCCGATCAGAAGGAAACGATTCATGGCTATCGGGTTAGTGATGGTAAACGATCTGCCAGTCACCCACCGAATGGGGCATCCCGGTCTGGTTGGTCATCTTCAGATAGCTAGTCAGAGTGGCATAGCGGAAATGAATCAAAATCAGATTTTGGTAGATACTGCCATCTTGGTATCATATCTTGGAAAGCCTCGCCAGCAATGATGTAATGACGCCTATTGTCCAAGCAGTCAACTTTGCATCCTTCCGTGACAAACGCTACCCCAGAAGTCGTACATGCCTTTGATAGAGATAATGTAAGGGCGCAGTTGTAATTTCCGAGTTGCAAAAGAGAGCAAGAAAAGGAGGCTCGACAAGAGGGCTAACTAGATGGATTAGACTACTAACCCAGCCCTGTACCGAGCGAGTGTAGAAATATAACAGCAGTATTATAGCCAAAACTACTGCCATACCTACAATCAACATTGCATTAACTGAATCATATTTCGGAATGGAAGAGCGTTATTTAAACATCACTGTATTGGATTTCAAAACCTGTTGCTGAACGGGCAGCCCGTGGGATAAGCTGCCCTCGCGTGTGCTTCATACTAGTAAAAGTTAACTTAACAACAGGACAAGGAGGAAAGACGAGGAGCGGTACATAGTACAGTCCACAGTAATAGTACTAAATATATCCAATCTGAGTATATGAAATCTCATTCTTGCCACTGGATCCGCCCACTGCGGAACAAACTCACCATCCGATAGGCAACAGCCCAGGGTCTACAATGTTAAACCCACCAAAGCTGTCGATGATCTCCTGTCCATACAATTGAGCTACCCATTTCCAATACGCATCCATCTCTCTCCAATTGCGTTTAATTCCTCTCCGGTTCTGATGTCTGGAAAGTTGATTTAGCTCACGGAAGACGGCACCGTTCGGATCACATTCAATATGCTCCTGCATCGGGCGTTGCAGAAGCGTGTCATACACCTCCTTGAGCTCGCCAGTGTATCCATAGCCAAGTAGCTCACGGTACCGGATGTACTCCTCGAATGGCATAAAGGTGTGTGCGTCTGCCGGAATAAATCCCTGGTTATGCGCGGTTATATGTTGGTTGTTGTTGAAACGCTTCTCGTAGCGCAGTTTAGCCGAGGCGTAAGAATCTCGTTCGACGTCCAAAAACCTATCCAATAGAATACTCGGATCTTCGATAACAGAATCGCGTAGGCCTACCAGGTGGACGAAGGGACTCGACAGCTCCAGACCGCCAAGCTCGATCGGTAGGAAAAAGTAACCGTCCGGTACAGAGGCGACGTTGAAGCGTGAGCAGATTATATCCCGGAGGAACTGGATTACACTCACGTCACTTTTGCCACCTTCTGCATCAAGGGAAAGCACTCTACGCTGGATTCGTTCATGAGTGGCGAGCATCATATCAACATGCTGACGGCCGAAGCAGTTGGCAGGCTTGCCAAAGTTGGACGTGAAGAAAGTTGTAGCATACGAGTTCCATGCCTGAATCCAACCAAAGACGCTCTTGGCTTGCTCTTTTAACTGTCGGTTCAAATCCACAACATGACTGTCTACCATTTGCTGATCGATTTCAAAACGCCCCGACTCGGAGTTGAGATATAGCATGCCCCATCTGATTTGTCCGGTAGGTAAGGCTGGGTCGAGACCAGTCGGGCTTGCCGTGTCTTTGTGCAAGATATGGGCACTGCCGGTTTTAGAGGGATCGAGGGTAATTCCCATTGTCTTATTGAATCTTCGGATTGCATTCCATGCAGTCACACAGGTTTGATGGTTTGATGACCAGAACCAGAAATCATCGTGAACTCGCCAGAGGAGCTCACCCTCGGTCTTCTGATTGATCATAAAGTCGAGACAGAAGAGAATGGACTCTCCAAACACGTCGCTGAGGACATGGGCGCCAGGAGTACCTCGCTGACGCTGACGAGGCTCAGCGTGAGGGTCGTCAATGAACTTTACCGGTGCTTTCAAGAAGCGCTGGAAAAATCCTAGCCATTTCTCAGAAACACCGAAGATTTTCAAGACTGCACGAATAGCTGTATGAGATAGATTGGGGTTGAGAGATTCATATTTGGAACGAAAGCAGGTCAACCCTCCCTCAAGTCGAGTCTTGATCAAAATGTCAGTGGTTAAGAGATGCAGTAGGTTTTGCTTGGCATCCATTGGATTTTTCGGGTTGAGAATCTCACCCCCATCGTCATCATCAGTATCGTTGTCATCCTCATCATCTTCATCATCGTCAATCCCCGCTTCTTCTTCAAAGGTTGTGACCCCATTAGCGCGTCTCATCATGCGTGATGGTCTTTGCGCTGTCTGCATGGTACGTTTCACAGCTGGGGCTGGGGCTCGTTGTGCAGGGGCAAACTGTGCAAAGTCGGCCTCTTCCTCCCCTTGGTCCATGCTTCGGTCTTGCCCTTCATAGTCCATAAGCTGAGAGACAAAGTATCCTTTGTGATATATTTTCTCTCGTGTGGTTTGCACGGCGCCCTTGGGTTTGTAATCTAGAAAAAACTCGCGACGGCTCTTGTCAATTCCTGGGATGTTATCTGTCGGCGATTTCCACACCCCGCTAGCCTTTCTGAATTCCGTGAAGGCATTCTTAAAGAAGACAGACCATTTAACACCGATATACTGCAAGAAGATGGCCTGGATCAGATCCTCGTGCATGTAAATGTTATAAGTTCCATTCAGTTGGCGCCGCTGCTCTACGGGGACTTCTGTACCCCAGGACCAAGCATCCAAGGCCATCATGCGCATATTCAGCACGTCGCAGAGCTCAGCCAGGATAATCGTGTTATTCAAGAAGTCTTTTAGCACCGTCCGCTTTTCTTCCGTCAGAAGGTCGGACGCAATCAGGCCAGAGATTGTCCATTGTAGTGTGGGCACACAAATTAGACGAGAGTATGCCAATGACTCCTCGAGCCGTTGCACTTTTCTTCGGAGTTCTTCAAAAGCTATTCGTACATCTTTGGCATTTTTCGACGGGCTGTGGAAGAGCTCGCTGAGTAGAAGGTTAATTTCATCTGTGTCGAGTTCAAGAGGCGTGAAAACGGCATCTTCCCATTGTTTCCTCGATTCCAGCTTCTGAGCACCCGGAAGCTGCTCTGGCTCTTCAGACATGGATACATCGTCGTCTGGGAGGGGATTCTTCTTAGTCGACAGCCATTCCATGGTCAGCTGGCCAAAAAGCGTGGCAAACTCATATTTACGGGTTTGCATATCAAGACTGCTGACTAGAGACTGTTGCCATCGTTCGATCGTAGAAGGTGAGATAGAGGGGTCGTACTGAACCTGTTTGAGAAACCGATCTATATTCGCAAGCGTAATCTCGAGGCGCCCATGGTTGCTGGTATGCCCACGGATCATGCGGCCGTCTACCACTGGGATGCCGAAGCACGTCTTGAGACCATCAGATAAAGCCGACAGTCTGTCAATGGGAGAGTCTAACGCCTGCGCGGTCTGTAGGGTCGTGGCCTTATGGCCGAGGAAGATCTCTTGCTTTCTGGAAAGCTCGCCCAGCTTGGCATGCGTAATGTCCTGCAGCGTTTGAGAGAGCTCACTCTTAGCAGATGCCATGGTTACGTGTTGGTTATCGAACGGATAGAGAGTTGCGTGAGGGATGGCAGTTCTTTTATACCTCGAGGTGAGGCCTGAGCTTAGTCATGACGGCTGCCTGTTCCTCCAGGTTGGTTACCTCATTGAATGGAACCACGTAGCCCTGGTTACGCTTATATCACCTCGACATATGGCCCTCTACGAGCTAGGATAATAAGTAACGCCCTGTTCTAGACCCCAGAACAAAGAGAATCCCCGGCCCTTTTGGATATACAAGCCCTTTTATTTTTGCTACCTCATATCACTCTGAACCACTACATCTGCCGAGGCAAGCCTTCAAAAACAAGAACACATGTGACACCCTAACTCACAGAGCTGCCTCGCACATCGACCCGTCTTGTCAGAACCCATATGAGAGAAGAGAAGATTCTGGTCAGTTAGACTGAGGGCCTGAACCGATGAAAATCCTCCTAGACATACATAAACCTCAAGATGCTTTGATCGGTGACCAGCTTCGTCTCGTACGCCCTCAGCTTTGCAATCCCCCCATTATTTTGCAACCAGCCGACATGCTCTTTGGTCTGAAGATCATAGAAGTCCATCTGAACCATGTCGTGCGTACCAATTCTCTGCGCTACTTCGAAAGACTTGAAATCTTGCAGCCAAGGGAGTTTACCATCTTTTTGGTATAGCTTGCAGAACCTCACCAGCACATTCGGCTCTTCATCCAAGCCGGCATATAAGACATTCTCATTCTGGTAGTGCTCTGCTCCCGTCGTCTGCCGAACGGCATAGTACTGTGTCTGTCCTCCCCGGACGCAGAAGCGCAGTGGATAGAAGGTTCCATATTTGAACTATGAGTGTGTCAGTTTTCGTATGTTCCTTTCCTTTCTTGCTCTATAGTGGGTGCCAAGCAAATTATTTCTTACCCTGGGTGTGGTTCCATTGGAACCTTCCCACACCAGCTGATGCTTGAGTGCAATGACCTCGAAACCGCTGGGTATATGCTCTTCGCCAGTATGTGATTTGCTCAGCACATAGCGCGTGGCGCGTCTCGAAAAATTCCCTCCTCCAGCCTCGGGGCGCTCAAGAAGCTCCGCTGCAACGCTTGTTAGTTTGCTATGGCAAAACTGAATTCTACCACTGACCATTTGCCACCATTCCCAGGTATGATGGTGCGGTGTTGAAGTCGGATTCGCATTTTAAGACCTTGAATTGGACAGTGCCAAAGTAGATCTGCTCAAATCGCCGAGGGATGTCATGCCAGCCATCCATTTTGCCAATAAGCTTGACGATATCGATCATGCCAATTTGCTATTAGGATTAGAGACTTTCCTCCCACGCCATGTATTTTTATATCCATTATGATGGACTTACATTCATCACCCGCCAATTGTAGAATGAGTTAACAGTGGGGCACCAAGCAGGGGGACTGTGCAGGAAGTGTTCTCAGTATCAAAGTTTGCTCTCAGATCGGGTTAGGGATATGAAGAGAATACTCACTTGTTGCACAGCAAAGTATCTCCTCCATCGGCATGCCATGTGATGGAATGATTTGAGCTACTATGAGACTTTTCTGTTTTTGAGTTACTCGTCGTCTCATGGCTGGCGCTCACAGAAGCCTGGAATCCGTATCCTGAGACGGAGGCACTCGCCGCTGCCTTGAGCGCGGATGCCTTCTCTGCAGTAGTCGCTCCGGCGATACTACTAGTCGACTCCTTGGAGTGAAGCGACCACCTAATTGTATATGGGGGACAAAAACATGGCCTAGAATTTATAAGCTTTGTTCATATCTCTGGCAAGGAAGAGGATATTGGATGGCTAACCGAACTTCTGGAAGAAAGTATCCGCGTCTTCCTTCGCTGCGGGGTTTCGCACTTTCTCCAGGTAGTGCTGGCATTCCTCGGTCAATTCGAGGTCATCGACATCGAAGAAAAGCTCGACTCGGGGAAACTAAAGAGCCAGTTAGATATCCCATTCCTTTGGACAGATTGGGTAGAATCGGACCAAGTAAACCACATGCAGAAGGCTTTCATCGCTTGCAGACGACTGTGCATAGGAGCTAGATTCAGACGTCGTGGCACCAGCTTTTACTCCAACGCTCACACCGAATGCTCCGCCACCTCTATACCGGGCGTCGAATTAGCTCTTGTACTTAAACAATAGTCAAGACTTCTTCTACTCACGCAGCGGCTTCGACAGTGGTCTGACTGAAACCATTCGACGCCATTGAGTCAGCGATTGAACTCTTAGTCTCAAACACTGCGACGCTGGAGCTATCGCAGATCTGAAAACGTGGGATACGGAATTTGACCTAGAATGATTAGCCTTGATATACCGATAAAGTCCTGCTGCCAAGTGACCGCAGCTTACTTCAGGCTTTGTCAACTGGGCAGGGACTGGTTTCTTAACCTCGAAAGTGATGTTGTAGTGAGGAATTGTTCTTTCCTTCAGGGCAAATGCTGCTCAAGATAAATGGTTAGATCAGTAGCTATATTTTATATCCTTCATCAAAGAGATATTGTCCCACCGGTATATCTGGCTCGACGGATGTTGGTCGGAACAGCCCTTTTATCATCAGTATCACCCCCTTCAAAGAATTTGCCGTTGAGCAGATCGTTGTTTCGCATCACAATACCCCATTGGTGCTCATTCATATCTGCGGCTTGACTGTACCTATCGGTTAGACAAACGGGATAACTGCGAGAAATCGAGAGCTCCACTTACGTGGTTGCCATGCCAGTGGAAGCCTTCCACTCATCCTTTCTGATGGAGGGTGTAAGCTTGTTCAGAGATGGGTTCAGGAAGGGCATGTTCGGGGACTATATTGGTATGAACAACATGATCAAGGGGTTGCTGATTAGGATCTCGTACCGTTTTGAGATCGAGCCCTTCCTTCAGAAAGGCAGCTGTGTCAGCGTTCATCCCTGTCCAGATCGATTGTTGCTCACCCGGCGCTATGAAGTAAACGTTGAACGAATCCTAAATTTCTCAGCTCCCGGACTTGGTAACAGTCACGGAACAAGGCTTACCTCCTCCGACTCCTTGTTCAGCTTGGTATAAACGTCAAAGGTCGTGTCGTCCGGGATATCGGCGCCATCTTTATCACAGAACTTCTGGTTCACGCTGCAAAAAACTAGTTAGAGAATCTGTATAGTAATTCCAGTCTGCAGTGGACCACCTACTATTCTTTTGGCAACCGCTTGTTGTGGACCAAGTACCATCGCAGATGCTGTAGTGCAGCTTCCTGGAATTCTTTCGGAACTATGGCCCTTGCTGTCGGAGTGGCACCCCTAGACTTGAGGTCATATTTTTGCAAGGTAAGAGTAACTATCGAATAACAGCCATTCGTCAGTAAAAACAAATTAAGCAAATATATGGGCTATCATACTATCGCCTTCACCCATTGTGGTTGAGTTTTCGCGTTTCCGGTGGGAGATATCAAGATAAAACTGAGCAACAGTGGGTTTTCTAATATTTTGTGAGAAAGAGAAGCTTAGCTGTGGTTTGAAGAGGATAGGTACTCCGTATATAAGTCTTAACTACGGCGAATATCGGGGAAAGAGAGCTACCCAGATAACTGCGGTATCCTCAACGAATATCTAAGACTAGCTCCTCCTGGCAATGATCCTCGCAAGCTGAGTATGATTTCCGCATGGCCACAGTTCCCAGCTGAATATGTGGACACTATTCATCATGCAGAATCTCAGCTTCAACCTATCGAGTGGAGTACCAAAACTTTATCGGCCATCGGGGACATTCGACACGTTCCACGTAGCCCTTGCAGATATCAACAATACTGGAAATGGGCAAACATACTTCCTCAATCGAATAGCCCCGATCAACCTACCACACGTCCAATCATTCCACTCCACGCCTTGCCTACGTGGGCAATGCAATACTCAGAGATGCAGTGATGCCTTTACTACGGTTGTTACGAGCTGAACGCATGCTACCTTTGTACAATCAAGCAAGGGTTTGCGCTACCGGCCGAGATTGTGGGTTTAGTGGAACGGAGCGGTATATATCTAGCTCCAGATTATCTCCGATAGGCGAGATTTGGCACTAGCTGCATGGTAAGGGTCCACAGCTGATGTGAGTAGTCACATTGTGACCTACTAATGCTTGGCGGGTGCAGAAGGGTAGTGGTGTTAGAGCAGCAGCCGGAAGGTGAGAGTTACAGGTGGAGAATCGTGGTTCTTTTCACCGTTCCCTTGACAGATACTCGTTTTCTACGTGCAATGATATGAATACTCTCAAGTTGGGCAGCATTGTGGAGAATTAGTCATGGATTTTGATTCCCAGGCTGAATAAACTGCCAATTGCCTTCTACAAGAATCAAAGCTAAAAGTCCTCTTCAACCAGCATAATATATGACAAGCGTTCACACCTTGATATCATGATCCAAGGTCAAATGGTATACCAGAAGGCCTTGTCCTCAACGTCAGTATGATCTAGGTTCATAGAAACTCCCAGATGAACATTTTCACCGCCGTCAATACTATACTCAGCATATCCCTTGTTGCCTATGTTTTTTGCGTACCTCAAATGCACGGAGCCAGCTAGCGCCATTGCCCGTATCTGTCACGAAAGGAAGACCCCTATTATCACATTCAGTGGTAGGAGCAGCGTGGAAGGGCATATGTCAGCCCCTTTTGGTGGTGTATACACTTTGCATTCACGGACAAGGTGATCCAGTTTAGCAATGATGATATGGACATTGTTGTGCAACCTGGGTCGTCCTGGTCGGGCTTAAATCATAAGCTTGCTAAAAGTAAGTAGTGGTGAGTACTCAATCCTCCGTATGAGATGAAGCAACCACCGCAAAAATAGGTGGCATGATGCACCAATTTCTCCAGAACCAAGGCTGTTCGCTACGGAACCATAAGGAATTAGGTTATCAAGATGACTGCTTTGCTAGCAGATGCCTCCATTCTTCACACTCGGCGATTCCCCCGGTAATGCTGTATAACATGAACGGCATAATTGGAGGGTCCGAGGGCAAGACTGGTACCGTGACAGAGACGATAATCGAGCTTGCAGTCCGTCCAAAGCAGTACTCCGTTGCGGTAGTGTCATTCAACAATTTCTGGAGCGCGTTGCGGCGGCTGCTGATGCCATCTGAACTAGTATACCGGTGGCTGTCCTCAAGTTGATGCATATGGGCTTCATCCGGATTGTCAATCAAGGAGGTGCAACTCGCCCACGCATCTGACAAGAAACACCCACTCCTTTCGTGAAATCTTCCGGAACGAAGGCATCAGCAGGAGATAATACCGAAAACGAGCGTAGAATTGTACGTGCCCATGAACCTGGCAGATTCGAGTTCGCCGATGACGAGAAAGAACAAAAGCTTCTGTCTGTCGGTACACAAAGAGTCTTTGTATTCGCTGTCAGTGTTGTGATACAATCACTGTTACGGAAAGCAGCAGTCTGCGCCCCGTAAACTTCTTCTGCTGTGTATATGGCAAGAGTTCTCTGCCTCATAGCGACTGATAAAGAAGAGCGTATTGGATCCTCATTGGATAATGTATGCTTGTCCAAAGCTCAATCTGATGAAGAATATGCTAATTAAAATGCCGGGCTTTTATCAGAATTGTCTTCACTTATTCCTTCCGCCCAGAAGGTCAACTCATGGATTTACACAGGGGAAGCAAGTCGGCAGCAACCGTAGTATTTCCATTCCATGAGGAGTCCCAAAAGTATATACGGCAGCTGCTGCTTCGTGGAAGCTGGCTTCTATTTCTGCCGTGCAACACACACAGTGAGTAAGTCTAAAAGACAGAAGTTCCCGATATGATCATCATGAATATAAGAAGTATCATTTCTTAAATGCAGATAGCTAATCCGGATAATACAGACGCTGTAATCACACCTGGCGAAGGATATCTCGCCTGGTATCAGACCAGATACTTGAGGATAGGTCGAATCGGTGAGTTGCAAAGCCTTCTATATAAACGTGGGCTTTTATATATATACATGAATCCTTAGTGCGTTGATAAACTGAATCTCCAAAATATAAACAGGGATATAGATACAAGGGTTGCACAACCTGGATATGTCAAAGGATATATGGAACCAATACCACAGAAAGCATCCATTATTGTCGATCGCTGGCAGTGTCAGGTAGTTCGTAGACTGGTGGTGCAGCGTCAAGCTCCTGAACTGTGTGCCTCTGGATCTTGGATGCATGGTCGACTGTCCGCATACCCGAAGCGCCTTGGACACCTGTTGGAGACACCACGTTCTCCGCCTTGTTGCGACGTGCGAGAAACCAAACCAAGGCAACGAGGATAGCTGCTCCGGCTACCCCACCAACAACACCGCCTGCAATGGCCCCGGTATTCGTGCTGGATGATTGTGGAGAGGGCTCGGGGGTAAGGGATGTCGTGGGCTCTGCGGTATGTGTAGTGGAGGTACTTGAGGTAGTCGAAACGGTCGAGAAAGATGATGGAGTGGCCGAGGGCGTGGGAGTCGAAGAAACTATCCGTCTATCAGTGGCCAGAGCTTATGGGAAATGGGATTCGTCGCAACAAGATACAATAGAGCAATACAATCATACCTGTCCCGGGTCTCATCACTGTCAAGGTGCTTAGCCAATCCTTTGAGGGGTAATCAGACATTACACAGCCGACATATCCATCTGGAACGTTGTTTCCGGCCTTCACTGTCTTGATGGCGAATTCCCCTTGGTCACAGCAAAAGAAGTCGATCGCGTGGAAGAGGTTCCAGGTTCCGTTCGCGCATTGCTCTGGGACATTTCCAAAGTGAGATTTCCGGCATGTATTCTCCCCAACCAGGCAAAATGAATCGGAGGGGCAACAGGCAACGAAATCATCCCAGGTTTTGCCGCAGTCCGTTTCATAGTCCCTGCAGGACTTCTCCCGCCGGAGAGAATAGCCTTCAGACATCTTACTCTAAAGTTATAACTACCGTAGTGGAGCATTAGTAAGTCTGTAATCGTGCTGTATGCGGAACCTTCACCTAAGCCGTAAATATAGGGCAAGGGGCAACCGTGATCCCAGTACCCAGGCACCCCCTTTGCGAGGAAGAAGCGGGGAAATATGAATTATGAATTATTTTCGATGGGACCCAGATCTAGCGCTGTAATCTACCAGGGTATGGAACGAGGCGAGGCCCACGGGGCCTTTGCTTTAAGCGAATCAATTGCTGCATTAGCCGCTGGGCATCATGGCTCCAAGACATACAGGGTGGACATAGTAACCTATGCTGTTTCGAGCTTTAGGGCTGCCAAGAAACGACACAGCCTCGGATTTAGCAAGGATTAGACCCTGGCTTTGAGCAAGCGGTTTCTAAGTCAGTTGGGGAACGACCAGGGGTTGACCCCATCGGTTTCCCCGGCGCCAACACCGACTCGTGAGGTTCAACCCATAGTAAGCATGCTAAGCGGGTCAATCCCCGGCCGAAAGCCCCACGATCCGTTCACAAGCTACTGTGTACAAATATCGCATGGGAGCGGCGCGTTTCATGTCATTTTGAGATACTTTCCGTAGATCCTGGCCATCAACTTAGCTTTTTGCTGTGCGAGGCAGGTACTCAGACCACTCTACACACCTACCTTATACTGATCATTGTCTAACCCATGAGCAGGTTCGAACGGGATGGGGAATGGCCCACAACAGCCAAAGTGGCTGCAGAGACCCGAAACCGACTACGAGCGATGGCTTCGCGAGCAAGACGAGGACTTCAAGCCTGCGGATCATCCATTTTACGGACCAAACATGGAAGGCACTAATGACCTTGATGATAGTGGAACAAACAAAGATGGGGAGAAGTCAAGGCTGAATAGTCATCAAGAACCGACGCATCATGGCCATTTTATAGAACAGCACAACATACCTATTGCATCCTCCACAAGTCGACTCCATCGTCTCGGTAATTATTCGATCATATGCAGTTTATTGTTGTCCATCGTCCTTGCGGTTGTCATTATAAAGTTGGCTATAGCATTTCGAAGAGGGGGCCGCCGAGTGGGTGCTATTTTACTATCTGAGAATTTTGGGAATAGGTGAAAGTGGCGGAGACTCGCGTCGAGATATACCGCGCTCGGATTGTAGCGACTGTTGGACATGTCACCAAGCCAAGTTACCCACGACATGAGGATACATGTGTTGAGGACAGTAGAAGAATGTAAAACTGACGCATATCAGCTTCTTAAGTCTATCGAGGATGTTATTTCCCACGTCATTTCCTATGGCCAGTTCGCCTTTTCTAGTATTGGTCAGTCCAGATGTCCAGAAATGTGTCGTAATGCATCCCGAGTGTTGTTGTAAATGTCCATCAAAGCCTCACAAGGGCTTGATCTGTGGTCTTGAAATTTGGTCAGGATAGACTTAGGCAGCCGACAAGACATGATCATGTGAGATTATACTTGGTGGGAAATAAATAGTTAGACAGATGATTAGGCGCTCTGACCCAGGCCTTCACAGAATGTAACTTCATACTGGGGTTATTTCAGCGTTGTATCTATCTTTTAATACGATAAAATGAGAGTGGGGGCGGGGGACAAGGGTTGAGAAGTAGGATATTGGACAGTAGAAATTGTTTCCTGATTCCTCCTCGGACTATGACGCCAAAGAATGTGTAGTGTCTAAATATAGGCGCCTCTTATTATTAACCCCATCGGGGTTGGGGCGAACCCTTGTTTGGAAATTTTGATCCTAGCCTGTGTCAAGCCCTAACAGGAACAAAGTACACAGCGCTAAGATGAAACTCCGTATCATCCGCGAAAGTCACCATACTAGTTAGCGCTGAGCTCCGTAGCCCGTCTCTGAACTAATTTAACTGCCCACCCAGCCCTCCACCAGCAAAACTAACCTATCCCGGCTGTTCCAGCTCTCTTGATCGCCTGTGCGAGCAACTCCTGGCACAATAGATACCGTACCCTGTTGCCCGAGCTAGGGTATGCTCGATGGCGGATTATATATCATCTATATTTGCCCTCCCCTGATAGAACAGAGCTGCGATACCTACGATATATACATAACTAGACACCAGTATGTACTAAAGCCCCGGTTACATAACAAGACTAACAGTGGCAGCAGAAAGCACAGACCTATCGGGGCACTGACAGTGTCAGTCAAAATGGCTCTCGGCAAACGGTCACGGTCGTTACAACAATGGAGACCGCAGACCGACTATGAGCGGTGGCTCGAAGAACACAATGAAAACTACCAGCCTGGGCAGGATGCACAGTACCATCCACCTATTCTGGGTAACAACGGCCAAGTCCCTGTATATCACCGTGAAATAGACGACAGCCCCGGTCAAAGGGCTGATGGTGCCCATCCGACGCTTTCCGATATCACGCATCTCCAATCGTATAAGCCTCATGGTGAGTTCTTGCGCCAGGTGGGTGCTAGACCGCCTTCCACACTGGGAGGGGCTTGGGCCCACAGCCTTCGAGGGCATTGCCCATATCAGTTGGCCCTATTATTTGTCGTGGTTATCGCTCTCCTGCAGACTGCGAAGAGCTTTGAAAGGCGACGCAGTCGTGCAATTGCTTCTTCAACACAGTCTATCAAACTTTACAGCGATGAAAAAAGTCCGGTATAAGTTGCAACACTACATAGATGGAGCGGAACAACTGTGATAGCTGGGGGTACCTGCCAGTGATATCTGTATCTTATTCTGGCATCCTATGGCCTGCCTGTTATTAATTATCCTGCTGTCATAGTATTTTAGAAATAAAAAAACATGAACAAAAAGTGGGGAAAGGGCAAGGAATACAATAGAGACGGAGAAATCAAAGAAATTACAGCATAGTCCTGGATGTCTGCACCAGCCGGCGAGGATGAAGCCCCCTACCGTGTTATTGCCATTGATCCTAAATGGGAGATGTACTTATGACATCTCCCTGTACTCTCAGAGCATGAGCTTCGCGCCCGGCCCGTGCTGGTCTAATGTAGGTCTAATCCGATCCGTCGTTGCCGCAGTCAACTTACAGGAAACTAACCATATAGTTAAGCGCCATTTCGTAGAATTGGCCCGATGTAACCCTACCATGCTATACTGTCTACTCTATATGCCGATCCCAATTTCAGTCTCAGTAAGGATTTACATTAGCCGAGGGCATGGTTGGTGTGTGGATATAGGCTAGGACAGGGCTAAGGCCCTCCGCTATCGCTCGTCTTTGGCTATGTGGGTACCTGCTAAGATAAACCCTGCATAAGCCAGACAGTTGGTGTCGATCAACCAGTCAAAGGATTGAGACCCTAGTCCCGATCATATGATACTGTCTGGATGGTCGATCCATATCGGCGAATTGGCCAGCATTGCCCTCATGGGGTTTATTTCCTAGTCCTCCATGGAGTAGTTCATCCATATACGAATGCGCTGAGCAGCGTTATGAGAGACGTTTTACCTGACTGCGAGGTATTTATTTTGGTTTTTGGTCGAGGAGAGTAATGGGACAAATATTTCTCGAGATACCGACAGTCCCCAATTGTTGCCTCCAGGACATCAGGGGTGAGTTCAAGGGGAAAGAAAGATAGTACAAAGAAAGGTTTATAGATTTATTGGTGATAAATCGAGTCCTTTCCGTTAAATAAAAAACAGATGTGTTACACGTTGAGGCCCTATTTCGTGATCATCAAAAGCTCTTTCTTCTGTCTCGGCTATTTAAGCCTAGAAAGCTATCCTTAGCGGCTGGAAGAACCCTCAACATTACATGCACTATTCAAGTACTGTAAATCGCCAGTCGGACGCGAACTGAACTGATCAAGCTTCGGCTCAATAAATAATCCTCTAGGAATATTCTCAGGATTCCTACGGAGTTCTTCCTACCTGTCAATTTCTTTGATCCGAACCGACCACGAAAACATGACTCCCACATTGGATCCCCCGAAATCTTCTCTGACGGAGCAGCTTAACTCTCCACCAAAAGCATCTTTACAAATCCTCGGGACACATTTTTCGAATGAACAGATCAAAGTGATTGATTTCGATCTCTGGATTGACTGTTCGAAAGTAGCAGGAATCAGATCTGGGAAGTTCCTGATGGAGAGTGAAAGCGATTGCCGGTCCTGGAATTACTCCGCCAACCAGGACAACTGCAACTTCGAGGAGATATTGGATGGCTGGCTTAATGACCAGCTGGGTAGTAGTACGGACGGGCGATCGTATGCTTTCTTAGCCCAATATCTATTACTATGCTAAAAGCACCCCAAGTTTCAGCTGGACGCTTTCTAAACTGGTTTCTTTTCCCGATGGCGATTGCGCTGCGATGAAAGCTCATATAGAGAGGCTGGCACGCAGGGTCGGCTATGGTGGGTCTGTCGAGGTAGTCTTTCACACTCCATCAATAGAGGCAGATGTCTTACCCGAGAAACACGACGTGCAAATTCGAGCGGAGTGGCGGTTTGATTGTCCTTTCACTCCCGCAGATCAGGTATGGAACGAGTTGGTAATGAACGCAATGGTCGACCGCAAGAAGGGCTGGATCTCTCTGAATGACCCAAAGCGATCCTACGGGATGTCTCCATTCCGAAGGGCTATCAGACATGGCAATAATTCCAGGATTGTGTCGCGGGAGCAGAATGCCAATGGGCTTACGCTCTCTGTACAGCAATTCTCACGGTGGGGCTGTGACGGTTCATCATGAAAGAAGTTAGGTCAATGTGCACTAGCAGCTTTGTTTTGACACTTGTTGTTCTGTTGTTATTGTTGTTGTACTGCGTCTCTACTTTCACTGCTGTTCATGGATTGCGATGGATAATGTGGAATTGAACTTGTTAAACTACGCGCTGCTGAGCTTTCTGCTTGAAAGGAATTTTTGTTTGATTAAACATTGAGTAATCTATGTGAGCAAGCTTGTCGCTAGCTACTTAGAAGAGAAGTAAAGACCATGCATGACTCGGTGAAAGCCTACATGTAGCAGTATGTCGAGCGTTTCAATTGAACTGTATTGCCTGTTCTACATTATAGTTTATCAGTCTGAATACCAGACTATCAATATAGACCTTCCTTGACTGCCTGAATGCTCGATACCAATTGTATACTCATCATCATGATTGCCATGCCTATACCCAGTCTCACTATTGTCAACACAGTGGCAGATAATTGCCTGGTTAATATTATACCATACATTTGTATCCACTTTCTGCTGACAATTGGTACAAACGTAGGTCAAGCAGATGCCAGATAGCTAACCCATTGTATATAATAAGCCGCTCAGACTGGTGACTTCTACACGATCATAGATGCGATAAATTTCCTCCGCATGGCGATAATATTCTCAAACTTTCTATAAATGGAAGGTTTATCGTTGGGCTGGCACATAATTGCATACAGACGATGCTTTCTTATAGTGGCCAGTATATACGGACTGGCCGGGTGGCAAGGGCCATCCCGAAGACTGGAAAGGGCCGGCAAATCCTCCTGACTGTATCCAAGATGGCGGTGATATGCATACCAAAAACCAATCCATGGCAGCCGGTATGCCTTTGCAATTAGCTGCCATACTAATATGTCTCCAATCATCTTTGAGAATCTTCTCGTTTTTATGGTTCTAGAAGAGTACTATCAACCGTGAGATTTTCTGGTGCATAATATTCAAACTAGCGATATCGTTAAATCAAAGTTTCAGGAGCCGAGTATTTTCAGATTCATCTAAAATGTCAAGAGTTCAAGTTTGTAAAAGTCACCATTGTCTGAATTCCTCATATCCAGACATATAATCAAATGGATGCGGCAAAATAGAATGAAAACCCTAAGTCGAAGCAGCAAGAAAAGAAGAAAAATGAAAGGAAAAAGACATCTGGGGATACAGTATGTAATAACCGGTAGCTGCACGCTTGCTGCAGTCCCAATAACTATGGGAGGACATTTGGATAATACCCTATCGTAGGGTCTACTTTCACCCCATAATTCTTTTTGTTTAAATAGTTAGCCAATGGCGAGCAGGTGAAAGGGCCGAAAGGTATGTGAAGATTGTATGGTTATAGTACATACCTTCTTAGCAAAGCCATTCACGACCTTATAGGGGTTGAAAATGCCCTTTGGGGTTTTGCCACCTGTTCATTGGTATTAGCATAGTATCTTAATAAAGTAGGTATCAATTGACTAATTGCTGTCCATGGGAAAGAATCTTGGGCTAGATGAGCTGCTTACTCTTTGTAAGAACCAGAGTCTTCTTAACTATATCTTCCACTTTGTGACAATTTGATTTGGACCAGTCGATAAATTGTGGTACTTTGATCATCAGCTTTGGAACGGCCCTAGGAATAATGCACCCATTCGCCAACTTGGTCAGCACTTTATCACCGTCCATAACGCTGCAGAGGTTGGGGTGTTCCATAATCGCTGCGTTGTTCGTCACACAATTTTTCATTATGTCGTCGTATATTTCCTTTGCCTCGTGCAATCTTAAAGGCATATCCCTTAAATTTGACCACAAATATGGAAAAAGTCCGTATTTCTTGTTCCATAGGAGGGATTCGATATAAAAGGAAATCATTGGGTATGTCACGGCAAACCCTTTACTGCAGAAGTTGTCCATGACCCAACAGTAAAATTTATCTACTTCATTGACGTAAAGTTCCGCGCCCTTTCTGCATTCTTGCGGTATCATGTCCGTTGGGGCATTCACGTCGTTGAAGCCACTCTTGCAAGCTGCTGCAGCTGTAGTACCTAAAGAGATAGCAGCTATGAATGGCAAGACATGGAAACGCATCTCGACTTAAAAGGATAGGAAACAAGTTATTTAGGTGCCTCAATCCTCGAAGATTGGAATGTAGGAAATCAAATGAAACGAACGGGAGGATAGACTATGAAAAGAGTTGGCTACAACCCTCTTTTATATCATTGATTGGAAAAAGGTCTATCTCTTTTTGATTATTATAAGAGCGTATTGGAAGTATACTCCCCTGTTCTTGTTTTGCGAATGTTTTGCAAATGATCGACATGACGATCTCAATAGTCCTGCGATAGTGGCGTAAAATTGAATTAATTTTTGAGAAATATGAAATACTATTATAGCCCAGATCTTGTTAGCTGGGACATGATTCATTTATTCAGAATTCATAACTGATCTGAAAGTGGGCCCAAAATAATTGGCACTCTTCTTCGCATGCAACATAGCGATGCATTGGTGACTATTTTCAATAGCATTGACAATAGACTACAGTGCAGTTGGAGCCATTGCTTCAGCTGTTCAGTCAGCTCATATTCATTCGATGAGGTCGCATGGTACACGCTGCGAGCTTTGCTCATTAGAAAAAAGGTACATCATATGCAGTGTCGATCAAGGGCACCTCTCATACCATGTCGGCTGGTTTCCATGTTCGAGTGATCTATTATTTTCGTTCCTCCTCTTAAGGCGAGCAGCGTGGCCGCCAGCCCTTCAGCAATTTTATTGCACATCTTAAAGCAATAGTACCGTTTTAGTATGTCCCTTGCTGGTCGAACGCTGCCTAGCAAGAATTGTAGCCACTGGCTCCATGCAGGCTACACCTATAGTTAAAAAGGGACTAGGTAGTAACCAGTAACATTGACGATATATCCTTCAAGGCGCTAGGCCAAACCAACCACCCCAGAAGATCCTCCAACATGATGATCGTAGCATGAGAAAATATAAATCAATCTCTGACACACAAATTCAGAGCGCCCGTTCGCAGCAAATACGACGGGTCCAGACGAAGCTGGCTGACAATTGAGGATGATCCGTCTGCTTCTTGAATCTAGGAACGGAATCATTTCATTTCTATGTTAATAATTAATCCAGTAGTCATATACAAGGACAACTGCATTGAAAGCTTCGTCTTTCTTCATTGAAGTGTGCAGAAAAATGCTGAATGTTAATATTTGACTTCCAGTTTCCAACATCCCCAACCCCATTTCTGAATAGAACGCGTTTATGTATGAATTCTATCCATCAATGACATGGAACCTTGCAGCATGCGTGGGTATGCAGAGCCTGCCTGGTGGCGGAGGCCTATTGTAGCCTAAACTACCGGAGGTGATTGACAGAATGTCTGTACATACCATATACCTTTTCCGAAACCAGGTTTATATCTAATCTTCCAAGGTGAAGCCATCGGTCACGCTTGATTTGGTGGTGGGGATGCTGAACGAACCCACCTGTGGATTTAGATACAACCACCCATTTACATGCGTCTATTGTTTTATTATATACCTGCCTTTTCTGTTCCTGTTCCAAATCATCGCTTAAGGAATCAGAGGCTTTGTGGAACAACATGCAGAAAATGACCGCCTTTATGATAAATACTTCACAGCGGCATTTCCACTTATATCTCCCTGCCTCAAGCCGAGGCTGACTGCAAACCCCCTGTAACTTGTGAAAATGTGTCCGGGACATCGACAAAGGGACCGAGGCTGACTAGGCAAATTTTCCATAAGCTAAAACCCCTCTTTTTATGCAAGGCTGAGGTCTCGTAATGGTCTGGACCACTCGATGGAAGTAAAGAGGAGTGCATTCCATGCCTGACTATGATTCAATCCTTCGTTGACCCCGCCCATAATTTACTCTGTACGATTGAAGCGCCCCATAAATCGATCTGGAGACGTCAGCCACTACTCTGAGGATGCAGCCGTGATTTGATGGAAAGGGTAAAAGGGAACTAGCCAAAGAGCACAAGGCTGAAGTGGGTGAAAATGAAATAACAGGTACCACCGAGTAGGTGTAAAATATGGGAGTATGAGGCAGGAACGAGGAAGAAGTTGGTACTTGCTCACTTTACAATTTATAAACACTTGACCACATGTTTTTCCATTTGGGGTGGTCCTTTTTACTACGTGTACGACTGGAACAGTTACAGACTACTCGATAAAACAGTTCAAAAGGTTATTTGGAACGAGTAGAAGGACTCTCAGTGTTGTTATTGATCACTGTGTATAAATCGTACCTAGCATTATCGCCTTGAATATCCGTGCTCTACGCCGAGAATTATTTTCAAAGAATATAAATAACAATAAAAATAAAACAAAATGCTATCAAACTTTCAAACGCTCGGTTCGGGGTATTTGAGATCGGGTATCTTGCTCTTAGTCTACCAGACTAAACACTTAACGCACATGCTGTACAAACCGAAACAAGACAATATAACCCTAAGCCTTCCATGCTCTCCGACACGTCGGGCATGTAGACTTAGGGGAGACTTTCAGCCACGATTCAATGCAGGTCGCGTGGTAGTTGACTCCACATTGGGCTTTGCACCAGGATATTTCCTGCTGTTCTTCCTCGTCTTCCGTATCATGGTGAGCGCCATGCCTAGCTCCAGAGCGAGCCTTTTTCAGGGACTCATAGCAGATGCTACAGTCTCCTTCAATAGGTCGGCGAGTAGAATCGCCAGAACATGAGGATGTCGTAGAGGACAGAGCAGCTCTCGAGCCACTGCCAAGGAGAGCACGATTAGAGGTCGCGCGAATAGTCGCTGTTGGTATATTCGACAGTCCACGGTTCGATGCCGCAACAGAGGCAACCTGGAGGCCTGCTTGGGAGTTGTAGGCTACTGCTCTTGTTCTATTCGTTCTTTCTTCTGTTGGAACTGCAGCACCACTCACAGAGAGCTCGCGTCGTCTATCGGTGGAAATTGTGGTTTGAGTGGCGCGTCCATTGACGCGAGTTTCTTGCGAAGATGTTGGTGCCGCTCTAACAGTCTGTAGATTTCCACGCCCCTCAGTACGGACTAGAGCCCAGTTCTCCAGATTGGAGCATTCCACCTCTACAATTCGCCGGGATCCTGCCGCAGGGCTAGTCCGTTGTCGCTCTCCAGCAGTTCGCTGAGTAGGCGCAGGAGACACACAGGAGCCCAGGAACCGTTGAACCTTCCTCTTCCACTTTGCGGCAAGTTCGGGGGCCTGATACTTGTGCCACCGTGTGCACAGAGTGTAAGGAGCCAAAGCCTCGAGCAGGTCGTTGATGTCTCGTCCCGCATAGAGGTCTTCTGTCCCTTCATCTAATAAGTACATGGCGGTTTGCCGGTTCCGCGCATTTGTTGATTGATGGCAGCGACGACCCTGTGATGGAGCGTATCCTGTGCACCATCGTTCCCCCTCTGGGTAGACTTGGATGATCTCGGAGAGGTGGGGAAGGAAGGTTGTTTGAGCTCGTGAGTATGGAGAAGGCATAGTAATGATTTTACGAGTTGGTTTCTAGGAAGCTGGGTGTTCTCTAGGGCGTAGTACTTGTAGGATATTTCGCAAGAAAGTCATACTCTCTATATACCCTGATATGACCCTAGAGAGACCGGGGTACTTCCTTGTCTGCCTAAGGCGCAAGAGGGATGTACGATAGTCCAGCCACACTTGCGTGGCTCAGCTCAAGGCCAAGTCCTTGCTTTATGCAACATAAATCAAATGTAGACTAGCAGCCGTGACATTATACTGCAAGTTAGGGGTGGCAGTGCCGCTGGGCTGTCTTATTGGGACGCATAGACAGGGGTTGTCAGATGCTAGCGGTTATGCCGTGGCTCTCACTGGTTAGCGATGGAGATGGTGTGATAAGATACAGTAGTTACCCATCCAAACTGGCTCCTCGATCACCATAAATAAAAATCCTCCTAATTGAAACCCTTTCCGTTTCAGGATAAGTTTTAAGGCAGCACCATTTTCCATGCCGGAATCAGACCTGATCGCGGCATGCGCGCACGCGATCCTTGTCCTGCCAGCTGCTGAATACCTATAACCGACCCTGCAACTGGTGTAGGGGTCGGTTATAGGTACCTTTACGAACTTTGATCTTTTGACACATGAAATCTCAACAGAAATCCGGCTTCGTTCTTAACCATCTTCTGTAGAGGGCGACGGCCCACCTACAAGACGCGCATGGGAGCGGACTGGGAAGTATGTGCAGGGAGGGAGCAGCCTCTAGATCAATTGAAGTTAAGTCTATGCGTGAATCCCACTGCCTATAAATAGCTGAAGCTGCGTTAAACGACACAACGGCTATGCACGTTTCACAATTTGCTTAAGTACATTGATACATTGAGATATTTCTCACGAATGCTTACGCGAATTCGGGATCATGCAGCCACACCACCCGGAATCCCAGCTGTTCCCTGCGTGCTAAGGTCTCCTTCTTCCACTCCCGATATGCTGCCAGTTCGCTCTCCGTATAGGCATAACCTAATACATCTCGCGTATCAGTGAAGTGCAGGCGTGCCAATGGACCGGCGAGATCAATCTCCGCGTTCGGCTCCCCATTCACGAGGACCTTGATAGTTCCAATCCGCTCGTAGAGGATCTTGCCATATTCTGCTGTGTGATAACCCATCGCGAGAAGGCCATAGATATACTCTAACAGGTATTTTGCGAACCATTCGGGTCGGGTCTATAATCAGACAACTCAAAAGTGACTCCAGTCTCGGTTCCAGGAAGAGGATCCATCCTATGATGCGTCGCCACCACCAGCGATAGTCGACTTCATCCGGGGGAAAGAAGAGCCCTGATTCTGCGGACTGGAAGTCGAGCACTAGCGTCTTCACGGTCATATCCCGGTGGATGTACATGGGATCTTCTTCTCGGCTTGTCTTTCCATCCACGGGCCCATACCGGATGAACCGCTCCAGCAAGGCGTAGAAGCTCCATTGGAATCCTAGATGACCACCGTCCCCAACTTGAGAGCGCGCGGAGTCGCGCGAGAGAATATGGCCAAAGAGACGGACGTTGACATGTAGCGTCGAGACACGGTGCGTGAGTCGCGGCACAGACAGCCAGGTGGGGTAGAGCCCGACATCATTTAGGACCGATACGTCTAGAACGTATGGAGAGGATGAGATGCGGTCCAGGGTTGCCAGAGTCTCTTCTGAGAGCTGGTGGTTGGTCCGGATGAGGCCACTCGCGTTGTAGGGACAGTGGCTTTGCCGTCGCTCGTAGTAGATGATCTGGCGCCATGCCCGGTACCCCATGTCACGAAAACTCCCTCGGTTGGATTGGGATGGTGCTGCGGGCGGTATGCGCTGGTCCTTCAGAACCAGCTCGATGATGAGTTCCCGAAGCTCGAGGGGGAGATCCAATAACGACGGCATGGTTTTTGCTCCTTGACTTGTTGACTTGACGGTTGACTCTTTGTTACAAGAAGAGTGAAGCGGGGCTTTGGCCTTTATGATCTTCGATAAATACCCGCGCCGCACTTCTCAGCCCTAATCAACGACTAGTCCGGTCTTTATATAGCGCATGTACTAGTGAGTTGGCGTGTTCCCGCCACCTATTCCATAGAAAATGGGATTTTTAATTTATAGCTAGCAGAATACTAACGGAACAATAATATAAGACACATGGATGTGGATTCGTATATGTAATACTATAGTATACAGGAACTAATGATTTATAAGTGTAACAGCGGTATACTATCAGGGTATTCTGAATCGTTGACTCAGAATTATCTGACCTTTTGGCCTAGTTGGGGGTTGGGAGCGTGTTTGCCTGGGCCGCACACCCTCACAATATGAATACTTATTTACATGCTTAGCTTAGTTCTTTGTAATCAATTACAATTGTCACTAATAGCTATATTATAGTATTAGGACCAGCTCAACTCGTACTATCTAACTATTGAGAATACGTACTCGATAGGCCTGGCCCTTCTATCTAGTGTTGATAGCCCATGCACCTCATTTGCACTACAGATACCCTCTGACCTTACGGCCATGTCTCGTCGCCGATCTCGACTGGATTCTAGCCATCATACTAAGTTATATCTAACCAAGATAGCTAACTGATCGCAGACTCCTTGGATGAAGCGCCAGTCGTAAAAAGAAACTCGAGGGGACATGAGACTCGCTGCCACGGAACTAATAGGCGGCTGTTTAAGAAGAGCACTGTCAATATGTGGCTAAATGACAGAAACGTGCATTGTGAAATAGCCTCAATGATTCTATCGGACCATGTCAAAAAGTTGTGAATCGGCCCTCTCCTTAGCTATTAGCCGAGCCATAACTATCACATACGACCATAGTGTGTGGAGAACAGGGCTTCCCGTCCGCTCAGCCGTACTTAAGCCATATATTACGCGTGGTCAGTAAGTATAATGGTCTTTAGCCCTTTAAAAAGTTGAAATAATAGTAACTATTGACTTAGGGTGAGTGCTGGTAATTGGAGTAAATACTTTATATTTAACTATTACTAGCGGTAATTTCTATTTACCAGAGATAATATAGCTAATAATAGAGCTATTTATAATAATTTTTTATACTAAAATTAGAAAGACACGGGATTTCGAGATATAGATAAATATATCTTGTGTTTTTTAAAGAAATCCTTTCTTATTTTATTCTCAACACGTCTGCCTTTCTTTATCCATACTAACACGTGATATCACATAACCATGTTTTCAAACGAGCACCTCGACAAGGTTGCTGGACAAACCCAAGGATGCAAATCTTACCAGAGAAGATCCCGACCTGACGCTACAGCAACTAAAACTATTCGCAGAAGCTATATTATTTTCTAAAAGATAAAGCTCTTTCAAAGGTTAGTATATAATAATTTTATTTATTTTATCTTTAAGTAGGAGCGTGAAGCGTCGCAAATATTTTCTCTAAGTTTAAAAAAGGATATTTTTAAATATATGGGCTACTTATATCTTAATATTTA